AAGGAGGAAGGAAGTTCATTCAAGAAGATTCAAAGTAGTCAAAGGTCAAGAAGTGTTTCCTTCATCACCAAAGGTAAGCCTATGTTGACATGTAAAAGCATGAAAGTGATATCCTAAGTATATGATCCTCTCTATCAATTTTTGCATGATCATAACCTTGTATGTTAGCCGAAGGATTTAAATATGGTTAGAAGCATGTTTTAGAAGTAATCCCTTAGGTATTTTAGGGCAATAAAGGCCGAATGGTATGTAGCTAAAAGAGGTTTTATTTGATTAATGTTGAAAGGATCTAACCATGTTAAGTTAATAATATAATTGAAAGCATGTTTTAAAAATTATATTCCTAGATGTTTATCTATGGTGGCCGAACCTATACATGCCTAGAATGAAATCTTTAATAATTCTATTAAGTGTTATGATAACCTAATAATGTCGTAAAACCTACACAAGTGGGTAAGTAAGCAAAACAACTCCTCTAGGTAATTAAACCTGCAAAGCCGAGACCTATACATGGATAAAACACAAATGTTGAATGTTATATAAGTTACTAAAAGATGATATGATGATGTTAGGGAGTCAAGGGAGCAAACAGGCAAGTAAAGAGATCAAAAGTTGAAAGTATACAAGTAAAGAACGACAAGTACTGTAAGTGTTTACAGTTGTTGAAGTAATCTCTCTATGTATGCCACCATTATGAAACTATGATAAGTTATGGTCTGACTGCAATATGTTTATAGTGCTTTACATTATGTGATTATGATATTTTTGAAACTTAAAACCATGCTATTAAATGTTGGCCTGTGCACTGATACTCCAGTTGCAACCTGACGAGGACTCTGGGTATCTCCGTAAGTCCGTAAAAGCCGGCAGGAATATGATGATGATGATGATGGCATGATATTTTTATATGATGATGTTAAATGTTCCATTTTGTATTGTTATTATAAACTGTTGCAGGAGTAAGCGTCATAGTTGGAGAATGCTCCAGCTGTGAACCTTACTGAGATTTTCCCCAAAATCTCACCCCCCTTGACCACCCATTTCAGGAAAAGATGAAAGAAAGTAATAAGAAAGTTATGTGGGAAAGAAAGGGTAAGAGACTGGTACGTAAAGAAGAAGAAACTCCACCTACCTGGGAAGAGAAACTAAAGGATCTAACAGATAGAGGCCTATGGACTGAGGCTATGAAATTATTAATAGAAGCTTTTCCACATTATGATTTCGATGAAGCACTAAGTACACAATGGCTAGAGGAACCACAACCACATTATGACTGGGCTTATGATGCGGCATAAATTATGTTTTTATTTATGATTAGTTAATCTTTTTGGGATTACATTAAATAATGTTTAGTGTTATTTATTTTGTATTGACGTTTTAACGCTTTTAATTTTATATGGAATAAGTATGGTTATGTGTTTCCATTCCGCACTCTGATATTTGCATTCGTAAAGTTTAAATTTAGACTTCCGCGCGTTGAATGCATGATGAAGGTGCACCCTATATGTATTTACATTTGGGGTGTTACACACAGCATTAACAGAAGACTACTATTCTGCATGTGAAACTTTGTTATAGTTAATATAAACCGATTTGGCCTAAGGTGACACAGCCGCCAAAGAGAGGCATTGAGCTTTCCAACCTCGTCCTCGACCATATACTCTGTCCAAGGAGGATATCTTTTAGTGCTAAGGTGAATTTTCGGTGTATCTTCCCCTCAAAATATGACACGTGTTTTATTTTTGTCAAATCATTAATAAATAATTTATTTTAAAAAAATAAGAGAGTAATTTAATAAAAAATAAGATATGTATCACGTGAATGAAAAATGGGGAAAGTAGCACTAAAGAAATTTTCCTATCAAGATCTCAAAGTTATGCGCCTTGGTGCCTATACCGTGTTTGAGCATGGATCCCAAAAATCTACTTGGGCTGTGATCGCACTTAAAGCCACTAGCTTGCGAGATTTCATTAGCCTTGTCGCTACTGGTATTATTTTGAAAAATAAATATTGGTTTTATTCCCACTAACTCGTTGACTAGAGCTGACAGTAAAAGTGGTGAGGAAGTGTAGAATTAAGTTCATTTGCTAAAGGGATGCTTATGCTAAAATCAATACATCATCCACAAATATAAGATGTGAGATCTTTTGTCACTACCTACCAACCTTAATGGGGATCCATTGATTGCTCTCAACGACATTAGAAATCATCTGGGACAATTTTTCCATCCACAGGACCAAAATGTAAAGAGACAAAGGGTATACAACCATTGCATTGAATATTATAACCATGTATTATAGGTAATATATAGTTATAATAATAAAATTATTTTTTTCTCTTTTCTTAGACATTATCGGCAGACGTAATGGAGAGAGAGAAAAAATAATTTTATCATTATAACTATATAATATGTAATATGTAATTATAATAAATCGTTGCATTGAATATTTTGGTGCAACTATTGTACTAAAAATGCTTTCCTTTACTAGGAGTGAAGGTTTCAGTCTTCGACCCATTCCACAACACTTGGAATTGCACAGTGTTAATGTAGTCCATGATAATTGAAATAAAAGATTTAGATAGCAGGTTACGATGCAGGTCCGACTCCTTTCCTCCAAGCATCAAACCTGGAGTGTTCTAACCAAGTTACGACAAATCTGAAAGGACGTTCCCTCCAGGTTGTGCTATTATTTTCTATCCCACTGAAGAGAGGGTTATGTTGGGTTTTACTCTTTCACTAAAGCCCAATAGGGCCTAGTGTGTAAGAGGAGCCCAAGAAACCTAAAGCTCATTCTGTTTAGGGTTAGATTTGTTAGAACCCATATATATTCTACACTTATAGTCATCAGCCTCTCTAGTCTTCACTTGGTGGTTGTAGATGCTGAGGTAAGGTTATCTCCCTGAAAGTGAGAGAGCCCACACATTTTCCATTTCCCCTTGAGACATAGTCTGGAAGATCTGCCACAGTCCAGCTTCAAAGAAGTTGTTCGTGTTGCGGCGCTGATGTGAGCTATTCGTGAAGAAGAATCATACATGGGAAGATTCTGCACGAGATCTGCGCACCAAGAGGTAATTGTAAACAATAATGATCCATTACGTCCAAATTTCAATGGTCTAAATGCTTCCGCATAATCAATTTCTTGTTGTTGCTGTGAAACTTCTTTGATGTCGTTCTCCCTATTCTTGGACTGTGTTTTGTCTTCCACTTTTTGTTGTTGATTTTCGATTTTTGTAGATTTCGATGAGAGAGATTTTCGGGAATTGATGAGAGAGATTCCATCGTTCTTCCTATTTTTGTTGATGTTTGATTGGGTTAGAAACTGAATAAGATCCTTGTTCCTTCGGCAAAAACATAGATTTTCGATTTGCTATGGCAACTTTCATTTTTGAGTATGTAAGCAACAAATGCAGTGTCGCTTTCAAGGGAGGGTGAATTTTGTGAATAAATTAGTGTCAAATTATCCTGCCACCCATACCAGATGCCCCCTAAATATATAACTCAAACTTGAATTCTAATAATAAGTAAGTGGGAAAATAATAAATTACGTGTGCATATCAAAACAAATTCTCTTTATTATTTTTCTTGGTTCAATAATAATGGAAAGTATACAACACAAACCATAAGCCTTAATTTACTTAAAGGGAAAACTTTACTTTCACCCATTATGGTTATAACAATTATCACTTAGCCCCTTGTGGTTTCAAATAAATCACTGAGACCCACTGTGATTACAGAATACATCATTTAGCCCCTCAAATGTCTAAAATGTCCTTATTATTTAAAATATCGATATTACCCTTACTCAAAAATTACAAATTATATTTGAAATGTCAAAAATATCCCTAATTAAAAAAGAAATTATGATAAAAATACCTATTTTTTAAAAAATTTACTTTTAATCTTAATCATTTTACCTAATTTGATCCTATGGTTATAAATAAATGCACTAAATAATCAATAATTTAAAAAAAATCATCTCACAGATAAAAAAGATGGACTGATGGTAAAGCCCATTATTCCTACGTGATCTGCCTAATGATTTTCTAGGATTAGGGATTGAAATCGCCGTTTTTGATGTCTTTCTTGGCTTTTTCTTTATGCATGGAACAATTACTTGTTCACTGTGCCAACACTATAGAAAGCAACGATGTAACACTTGCTCAACAAGTCCTTTGGGTCCGCAACAACATAGCACCCCCTGACAGTGACTATAAGCAGCGCCTAGCAGGTAGCTTCCTTCGCGCTCTCTGATATAAGGCAAACTAAACTTTTAAGGGCCTTGAGCTGACATAATAAGTCGAATAATAACTCTAAATAACCCAAGTGTGCGGCCCAAGATGGAAACAAATAACCCAAGTGTGCTACCAAATAATCAGCATCATCGGACAAATCATGAAGCTTTGTCGAACATTCTTCTCTTTTTAATTAGGGATATTTTTGATATTTCAAATATAATTTATAATTTTTTAAGTAAAGGTATTATCAGTATTTTATAAAATAAGAATATTTTAGACATTTGAGAGGCTAAATGATATATTATGTAACCACAGTGGGTCTAAGTGATTAATTTGAAACCACGAGGGGCTAAGTGATAATTGTTGTAACCACAATGAGTGAAAGTGAAATTTTTCCTTACTTAAATTGTCCTCAAGCTCAAGTGGCATACCATATTCAAGACTCCAAATATTGTTGAAACCACATAACTATCCCAGAGGTACAGTTTTACTTTAAAGTTATATTGATATTACAAATTGTGTGTCCTTCAAAAATAAGTAATACATTTGTAACATTCATTATTCATTCTAGTTACGGAAATATAAAAAAATTATTAAACATTAAATAAAATATTTTATTTTATAACCGGAAAGATAGCCTCCCTCAACATACATGTCTGGGTGGTGTAGTTGGTTATCACGCTAGTCTCACACACTAGAGGTCCCCGGTTCGAACCCGGGCTCAGACATGAACTTCATTTTTACCAATTTCTTGATTTTTTTTTTAATTTTTTAATTTTTTAATTTTTTTTGTGATTTTTCTTGAACAAACCTGCCAACGAAGTCTCTTGCTCCCTTTCTTCACATTTTCCATTTCCTTCTTCCTTCTTCACTGATATCACTTGCTTCCTCGTTCTCCTTCGTAAACGCTTTTCCATTCAATTCATTCCTCACTTCCATTTTCAATCGCCGCAACATCCAAGTTTCTCTCCGAGAGAAGAGAGAGAGAGAGAGAGAGAGAGATGGATTGGGGAAACGTTACGGCGGAGGATCTGATGGACGCGCTCCGCGAGGTGGATTGGTCGTCGCCGCCGCGCCCTCTGTCGGAGTTCTTCTCCCGATTCACCGTTCCTAGATCTTCATCCAAATGGAACAGCCGCCTCAAATGCAATCTCTACTAGTACCAATCCTTCCTCTTTCGCTTTCATTAATTCATCAAATTTCGTGATTAGCTGAGCGATTTTTTTTTTTTTTTCTTTTTTTGTATATGATTTTTTCTCTATTCTTAACTTTTTCCCTTTTTTTTGAACTGAGTTTTGAATTTTTTTTTATGATTTTAATCTTATTTTGACTTTTTACAATTTTTTCTTTTGCTGTTGATGTCGTTATTTATAATGTGCTCAAACGTAAAATGGTTTTATTTTATTTTATTTCAGTTTTAGGAATTCCGTGATAAATTTTGAATTACGAGGTTATAATCTTAAAATTTTGGATAATATGACCTATATTTGGGGAATAACTTGTAATCACTTATTGTCTTCTGAATTACACCATGGAAAAATTTTAGGATGGGAAAGTAATGATGGTGTTATGCTTGTATTTGCAGCTACCGCACCAACTACTTCATTTTGATCGTTTCTGTTCTCAGTAAGTGAGCACGATGAATGCTATTTATTATATTGTTCACATTTGATAGCATGTGATTGTGTTCCTTGTCTCATCATCCACATTTTGAATTGCAGTACTGGGTTTTCTTCGAAGGCCGCTTGCTATTGTAGCTGCGCTTCTTACAGCACTCAGCATTGCTTTTCTAAATGACAGGTAAGCGGTGTTACTGGCTCTCTTTATACATCACGTTACATCATTGGTTTTGGACTTTATTTAATTTCACAAACGTTTGGACTAAGGGTTTTGTACTATTTAGTTGGGCAGGTTTTGTGTCAGTTTCGAACTAATGATTTTATTGCCATGTTTAGTGATGTTAATCCGATTTCAGTGCTTGTGCAACAAAAGCAACTTATGCTTCAGTTTTATAATTTTGGCATCACAATTAATCAAAGCCCCCAATATCACAGTATATTATTTTCGTATGTCCAGTAATCCTGCTTACTTGGTTTACACAATACAGATGCCATATTTTGTGCTGCCTTTGGTAGAATACTGAATACTCTATGTGGTGTTCATAGTGTAACTTTATGCAGAAACATGGATGGTTCTTAAAAAACCTTAGGAAAAGTTGCATATGGATTTGTTTTCTAGATTATATATATTGAATTTAACTGCAGGGTCAATCCCCATAAAACTAAAATGAGATAAAACACATTATAGTTTTACTTCTAGCTTCAGATATGGCTCGTAGTAGGTTCATGATTTGTTTTATTTTGACAATGGTCGACATACTACTTTTACTTTAATTCGGAAGTATACAAATTTTCCCTTTTTAAACAAATGTGTTTTACTATGTTGTATAGAAAAGTTAGATAGGATGGAAAATGAAGATCTTTGATCAAATTTAGATTTTAGTGTTTCATATTATGTACTTTATATGTCTAGTGGAAATAACTGTATCACTACCGTTGCTCATGACTTGGATATAATGGTAATTTACATTCTCTAGTACTCCACTAATCTTGTATTAAGAAGGGAGAGTGACAAAATAAAATCATTAATAAGCGCTTGTGATATTTTCATGGTTACCAAATAAAGAAGAAAAATGAACTCCAAGGAGTTATAAACAGCTGTTGAATACATTGGGGTACCAAAAGAGTTATAAGTATGACTTTAGATATTTGATTATACTTGGACGACATGGGATATTAGACAATTATTTTTCCCAGTAATACATACGTCTGGAGGATTTGTAAAATATTGTGATAGATTTTGCAGTCAATCCAGGAAATCTATAGGCGTCTGAGAAAGTTTGGACAATGAAGTCTTCATTTAGTCTGTCCCAGTTCTACTATGATGGAAGTGCTTACCTTTTCATATTTCTTGGACATCAATCTAATTGTTAATTTTTTGCAGCTTTGCGGGTACCTTTAGCGAGAAGGTAACAAGGACAGTTAGGCAATTTTCACCACATTTAGCTGCCAAGATGAGACCTCCTCTTACGTAAGGATGCTTGGTTGTTATTATATGTGTATATCTTTGGATTTTTCTGCCTCTTCAGTAATTATTTAAATTCCAGGCCTGTGATTCGTGGACGTCCATCAGCTAAGAGAGCAATTTATATATGTGGTCGGCCGCGTTGGGTGTTTGTCTTGATATTTTCTTCTGGTAAATGAAGTCTTTGAAACAGGGAATTTTTTTCAATCAATAATAATTTGGGATATTCTGTCAATCCTTGCTACCTTTAAAATTTATGACAACGCTGCTAGTTTTTCCTCCTTTTGGCAGCAAGTTTCATCCTTTGGTTTGTTTCTGCTGGCCTCCTAACTGTTTTATGGGCGCTTGCTATCGGTCTTCTTGGTACATCACATAACAAGAAATCTTAATCTTTAATATTGTTAGCATTTATGTTCTTGCTTTTAAATTGTTTTTTCTCGCTCTTTTCAGCTACCATCCTGCATGCAAGCCTTAGAACACCTAACTTGAAAGCGCGTCTAAACACATTCCGTGAAGAATTTCGTGCAGTATGGCGCAATTATAGTGAGCTGTAGCATACATAAAATTTGTTGGATGTGAGTGCTTTCTGCCTCAGCATTTTTATGTATTCATATGAATAGTAATTTTGTGTTTATGTACAAAATTTATAAAACACTACTGTACGTGGAAGTGATTGAGAAACAAATATATATATAAGTATTAGGATGAAAGGGTAGCCTCATAAGTTGCATATTTTGTATTATTGCATGATCTCAGATATGATAAATAATTCTCATTTTCAGTTAATATGTACTATCCAAAACTTAGGCTTACTAACATGATACATATTGGAACGCCAATGTTTTTCTTTTTATAAAGGTTGGTCTTGTGATAGACCTGGAAGCAACGTTTATACTAGGAGGAATAAGAGCAAGAACACAAGCAGAAATAGAAAGGAGTTGCAAGTGTATAAAGAAGGAAGAAAAGAGAGGTTATTAGAGTAATTCCCATTAGAGATTATGGCAATGATTATAGAATAAGAGAGGTGCTGCCAATTGAGGAGTTAGTTATGGGGAGGGGGGATGATAAATGGCAGGAGATAGAAGATGGGAAAATAACAGAATGAGTGGAGGTGGTGATATAGGGAAGGCTTGGGGGACAAGGGGAACATGGGAAAGAAGGTAAGGTAGCAAGAGGGGTAAGCCTATCCTTAGGCTGGTCAGTGAGGTTCTAGGAGGTCCTTCAAAGTATCTTCTTTCTTTCAGTTTTTCTTTCCATGCCAAGAATTTGCAGAATCTCATTCTGCTGTACGGAGCTGAGCTCCCTGTTATTTCTTATTAATGTTTTTAGATATATAGTGATGTTTCCTTAAGTGTTATTTCTTATTTCTTATTAATGCTGTTAGCTTTATGTGTTATTATTTTATATTTTTTTGTACAGCTGTAAAAGCTTGTTAAACAAGCTCTCTTTGCTTGATAAAATTCAGAGCAGAATCTATGAACAGGACACATACTCCATTCTTCACCTTTATGTTTATCTCTTTCTGTTAATAAATATATCCAGTCTGCATCTTAAGTTCGTATCATCTTGCTTCTCCGATCACTGTTTGGTTGTATAAATGGTTTTAAATTTTTAATTATATGCTTAGTTTTTTAGTGGTGTTGAAGTGAAATAAATAAACTACCTTATGATCCACAAGAGATGTGTGCAATTTAAATGAGGTCAAAGTATGATTGCCTCACCTTTTAAATTTCATCACTCATTATTTCTGTTTAACTTTTGCCCAGTTATTAGTGGATTTTTTATTTTCCTGTTGGGGACCGAAAGAGGGGTCAGATTTCATGAGTATGACTTTTAGATTATTCATTGGATGATATGTATAAAGTTGGAAGTTCAGATTTCTTTTGGCTTGATTTTAGATTTCTTCAGGCTGGAGAAACTTGTAAGTTACTTTTATTGATTTGGGATCATTGCTCGCTTTCCTTCATCTCAGTTTGGGATGTTAACATGTTATATACTCCTTTCATGTGTCATTTTTTGGAGTAGAATTGTGCCCGTGTGTATTCTATTATATACTTGATTTTTGGAAAAGGCAACGTTCTACCTTGTAGATTTCCAAATTTTTGTACCCGATTTATCGTGTTTTGTAGTGCTGACACTGATTGCAAAACTGATACGATATAAATGTTGTTTTAGGTGTTGCTGCGTCCTAGTTGAAATATTTTCCTCAATTGCAATGGAACTTTATGGAGAAGGCTGCCAACCCGATTATCAACAGACTGTAAATTCGCAGGAATCTTGTTTTGTAAATTACACTGTTTTCATTGTTTATTATATCTAGAGACTAGAGCAAGCATTGGAATATTGATACATGCTGTAAGCAAGACTTTGTCACCCACCATAATAGTTGTCAAAATTCTTAATTGCACTGACAAATTGGTGAACGTAAGACACTCAATATCTTTTCTCTTATCGGTAGTTTTTTTTTTTTTTTTTTTGTAATATATATATATTAATAAATATGACCCAATAAATTATGACCGTTAGATTGGTGGAAATTGACAATTAAGATTTGATGTCAAACTTTTTAATTTGACACCAGTATTAAATGATCATGCCTTATATCTTTTGACTTGGGTGTAAGATTTAGAAGTTTTATTTTTTATTTCAACTGTTGATTTTCAACGGTTGTCATTTATTTGAAATTAATAATTAATTAATTGATATAGTTCAATAAATTATAATCATTAGATGGATGATAGTCAGTAGTTAAGATGAGGAGTAAGACTTTTAAATCTTACATTGGAGTCAAAAGATCCATTTCTTATATATATATATATATATATATATATATATATATATTGTGGTTGCTGTTCTGGTAAAGATTACAAAATTGGTTGCTTGACTTGTATGATTCATGCTTCTGAAGCAGTTTTAGTACATATTAACTTCAATTCCTGCATCACATATGTTGACTTTGTTTTGCCTGTGATTTTGTTCTGCATGCTGTTTTTTTATGTTCTGTATGCATTTACGAGCTTCAGTTTACCATGTGTTTGTTGCTTCACTCTTGCATTTTGTGAAATTGGTGGTCCGGGAAGGACTCAGCGACTCTTAGGGGGTGTTTGGTTGAAGAGAAATTTTTTGAATACTAGGGAAATGTAATTGATAGGAAAATGGTTAGAAAGTGAGTTTGGTAGGGAAATATAAAAAAAGTTGTTTGGTTGGAAAAAATTTTACTGGGCAAATTAGGTAAGATTTATAAAGTCTATGTTTGGTTTGAGGTAAAATATAGATGGGAAAATAAGTCACAATTACTAAAATATCCCTATTCTTTGGGTGAGGAGGGTATTGATCTACCCAGGTGGGTCCAGTCAGTGGTTCGTGAAGAGTGGACCGCGGAAGTGTTCGATGCTGAGCTAATGAGGTTCCATAACATTGAGGAGGTGATGGTTCAGTTGTTGCAGATTGCCATGGCTTGTGTTTCGGTGGAGAAATAAGAGCAAAAGAAGCTGGTGCTGCACTCGAGTTCCAAACAAACTTGTGTAACTCCTTATTAGAGGTACCACCCCTGATATCTTTATTTCTTTGGCCATCACTGACAGACCTTGAAAACATTGGTTTTAGATCATTACAACTCTTGCTCCTCGATCCCTTTTTTTTTTGCATCTTCAACATCTCTTCTTCAACCCCAGTAAGAGACTTATTGATTGAAGAAGAAGCTGATCTTCTTACCACCACATGAAACTTCCCATCATCTCCAATTTCTGCATCAGCTTGCAATGGTTCTTTACCGCTGAGAGAGTTAACATCCGAATCAACCCTGACGGAAGTGATGGACCCTGCCGTCTCAGGGGTATTTTGGTCTGGGTCATGATTCACCTTCTCATTTACCCATCTAACTAACAAAAAACCATGTTGAATATGTCTTTCTCAACAGTGAAAAAGGAAGGATTTCAACGACCAAACATGCTTTGCTAGGCAAGTGGAATAGGTAGGAAAATTTTAAGAATCAGCCAACCAAACAAGGCTTTCCATGATACCCACTTCTACTTGCATGGGCAACTTTTCAGAAAACTCCAACCAAACAGCACCTTATGGCGAGGTCCATAAGGGATTATGGGATGCTCAATTAAAGTTGCCGTGTCCCATTGTCATTAAATGTTATACATGGTGTTTTTTGGGTGGTTTAATAGGCATGGCTGAATTGTTGACTTCTTTCCATTGTGGGCTATTAGCTTTCACATATGGTGAGCTATTAGTTTTCACACATGGAAAAACATTGTTATTATAAGGGTTATTAGCTTTTACATTTGATGGAATGTTCCCTATATAAAGGATTTTATATGCTTGAGCAAGTTCTAAATACACTTTAAAAAAGCCTGACAAATGATTTAGAGAGAGTTTAAAGAGAAAGTTCAAGTTAGAGCATTTCTAGAATAAGGAAGTTACAAATTTTTTTTTTTTAGAAAATAATAGAGGAGCATGGTATCATAAAAAGAACTATTTCAATCCAAAAACGAGGTTATATTAATGATTTTATATCACATTTTTCTAATGAGCCCTTATTTTAAATTCCTAATATGGGTGCTGCTGAGAAGTTGAAGTGGAAAAAAGAGCCCTTGTCTGTTTTTGACCTTCTGCCTGCTTTGGTGTAGGAAGACCGAGAGAAAAGGGACAAAAGGAGTAAGTTTTTATAGGTTAAGTACGACAAAATCATATTTGCACGCTCAAACAAACAGTTAGCATACTGTAAGAAATCTATCTTCTTTTTGATGAATAAAAGAGAAGAAATAGGGGACACCCGATACGCTCGTCTTATGGGTTACAATTCAATAATGGGTGTTTGGTTGTGGCAGATAGTTGATCTTTCATTGGACTAGTGGAGCCTGGTTTCTGGTTTCCCTAAAGATTTTTTTTTTTTTTTTTAAATTCCACAAAAACACAAAAAAGATTACACATATCTCCCTCAAATATTATCAAAACATTATATAGCCCCTAATTTTTTTTTAGTTAAGATCTGTTTGGAGCGTTGTTATGGGCTGTAGTGATAAGCAGGCCAGCAAGAGAGTTATAAGGGAACCAGCCCATTTGAAGGATTACGTTGGGCTCATTATGTAGTGGGTTCTTAACTAATGTTTTACAATGTTTTCTAATTCAGCAGCAAGTCAAAAACTGTAGTAAACCTTGAGTATAAGTAGCCTATCGGGCCTAGTAATATGCAAGCATTATTCAGAAATTCCTTTCTCTCTCTTTATTCTCTCTCTCTCTCTCTCTCTCTCTCATTCATTCTATTGTCACTTCCTTTCCGAAACCCCTAATTCCCTACGTTAGCATACTGCTCTTGTTACATTGGTGCTTCCATTGAGTTATGGCGAACAACACCAGATTACGTGACCTAACCAACTAGGTTCACACTCCTGATCAACAGTTCCTCACCTTGGAACACACTTTGGACCATCGTCTGGAGACGTTTGAGCTAACCCACAACCAACAATTTGAAGAACAGACTCAACGGATTATAGAACATAATCAGCGAATGGATGGCATCACACATCAGATCCAGGATATGTTTGCACTGCTACAAACAATGCAGGTTCAGATCACAAATATTGGCTCCACTCCACAGGCTGGAATTTTAGGAGCTAGACCAACACGTCAGGCACCACACCTGCGCTCCAAGAAGATTGATTTTCCCAGATTTGGTTCTGGGGACCTTGGACCACGACTATTTGCAGTTGAACGATACTTCCGTTACCACCAGGTACCAGATAATGATCGACTTGATTTGGTATCTTTTAATCTAGATTTACCCGCTTCTTGTTGGTTTGAGGCTTGTTTCGGACATGGCCATGTTCTAGATTGGAATTCCTTTGTAATTGCGCTACATCAGCGCTTTGGACCATCTGAATTTGAAGATCCATTAGGCTCTCTAGCCAAATTGCAGCAATCAGGATCAGTGGTAGAGTTTCAATCAACCTTTGAATTATTGGCCAGACGAATTCCAGAATTAACTCCCATGACCCGCAAAAGTCTGTTCATATCCGGTTGGAAACCCCACATTCGCAGAGCTGTTCTAGTTCATCGCCCAACTGACACCACTGCCTTTTCCTTTGCCAAAATATATGAAGAACAATTTGCTGAAACAAGATTTTCCAAACCGTGGAACTCCCGTACCTCCAAATCCACTCAAGCCATTGCAGCCCAACCTATAACCACACTGTTACCACCCAATACTCCTAAACCACCATTAGCCCCCCCATCTATCCCTATTAGGAGATTATCTCTTGCTGAAATGCAAGCAAGAAGAGAGAAAAACTTGTGCTATAATTGTGATGAACGTTTTGTTGTTGGTCATCGTTGTAAGAGGTCGTGCAACTCTCTTATATTTGGAAGGAACAGAGGATGAACCCCCTGATATTGAAATAAACCAGTCACCAGAACCAATTGGGGATCCAGCTGATATTCCCGTTACTGAAATTCCACATGAAATCAACTTTAATGCTTTGTTTGGACACCGCTCTGCTAATCCTTTTCGTTTGCAGGATACAATTGGGGGCCAAACAGTACAAATATTGGTGGATGGGGGTAGTACCCACAATTTCATCACCCTAAGAATGGCTTCTCACCTACGACTAACCTTGCACGTGATTAACCCTTTTCACGTACAGGTTGGCAATGAGGATGCGCTCATATGTTTGGCAGCATGTAAATCCGTTCCGATGGACATTCAATCCCACCCTTTTACACTTGATTTATATGTCATTGAATTAAAGGGTGCCAACATAGTTTTAGGAGTGCAATGGTTTTCACCATTGGGCCCTGTTATTACTGATTATTTTGCTTTAACTATGTCTTTTATTCACAATTCTTCTCAGGTTTTGTTACGAGGAGAAAAACCCATACAGCCCAGCCATATAACGTCCTCACAGCTACACAAACTTATATTGCAAGATTCTATATCTTCATGCCTAATGTGTTTCAATGCTGTTCCCACCTCAACTCAAACCAGCCCAACATTGCTGTCAGGTTTAAATTCCTTAGTAGAAGAATACCAAGACATTTTTGTAGAACCTTCATCTCTGCCACCAGATCGGGCTTACAATCACCACATCCATCTTATTTCGAATGTTGGGCCAGTGCAAGTGAGACCCTATCGCTACCCACACTACCAAAAGACAGAGATTGAAAAGATGGTGTCAGATATGCTGATTAAGGGTGTTATTCAACCTAGCCATTCTTGTTTCAGTTCACTAGTTCTATTAGTTAAAAAGAAGGATGGCACCTGGAGGTTTTGTGTTGATTACCGCGCCTTAAATGCAATTACAGTGCAGGACAAGTTCCCCATTCCCACTATTGATGAGCTCTAGAGATGAGCTACTAGATGAGTTACATGGTGCCACGCTCTTTTCTAAGCTAGACTTACGATCAGGTTACCACCAGATCAAGATGCATCCAACTGATATTCACAAGGCAGCTTTTAGGACACACCATGGGCACTTTGAGTTCCTAGTTATGCC